TCCAAATCCAACCTATGCTGGAAGTTAAAATATGAGTGTATTTGTAGACATTAGGAATTCAAAACATCAGCACTGTCTTTTTTAAAGTAATAATATTTATAAGGTTTAAAACCCCGTGCCCAATATTACAAGATTAAAAGGACAAGAGTTGATTATGTTGTCTTGCAGTGAACAGGAGGCATTCTGAAATCTCAAATGAAGCATTCTGAAGTCAAGTGATACTTACGTACTTTATAAATAATCTAAGCCGATCGTTGCATTATCATAAGAAACAGCACAGTTGCTTTCTAAACTAACCAAAATCTCGTTTTATATTTTCTGTACAAACATATGCTAATTAAAATTAGCCAATGAATTTTCAGAGAAAAAAACCCTTGTCAGACTGTGTCATTATAACAATAAATAAACACCACAAATGACAGCCAACATTTAGGAATGTGCTTGGCAAGAGAGTACCACATACAGTAATCAGATAGCTGTGCAATAACAGTGAACATGTTTACCTTTACAGAGACATTTGTATTTCTAGGCACTTTGTTATCATGTTTGTAGTGACGTGGCCAGTTTAAAACTGAAGCTTTTAAACTCCAAAAACAAAATCTTGGAGCTCTAAAAAACCAGAACTGTAAGTTTTGTATTATCTATAGACCAAGCACAGGCCAATGGTATGTAATGCCAAAATAATCCAAGCATTTGCTATGGAAATTGGGGTGCTGGAGTAAGCTATGTGAGCAGGTCAGACCAAGTGAAGCATTAAATTGTTCTAGTGATTCTGCTTACAACACCTGAGCTGGATCATTTAGAGTTAGCTTAAATATATCTGTATTGTGTAGACACTCTTTCTGACCTTTGGATTCTATGTAAAGTAAGTTTTATTAATTAATCAACAGAAACCTTGTATTACAAATAAGCTCTCAACTTTCTGCTGTCCAGAAGAAAAGAACAGTGTCTAGTGTATGTGATATCCTAATGTACTCCTGGAAAATTACCACATTGGCAATTAATTTGTTTAATACTTTTTGTAAGCCTGGGATCTTTCATAGATACCGTAAGCCTGGGATCTTTTGGCCCAGCCAAAAGGGGTTCTTCCTCCTTGAAGAAAGGGAACCCTGTGTTGTTATCACTGTGATGTTCCACTTCTAGCATTTATCTTTACCCCAATCCTGAACATATTTTGCTACCCAGCAAGGGATATATATTTTATATATATATATATATATTTTTTTTTTTTCTGATGCCAAGATCTGCTCTGGTGATGTCTTCAGCCATGACCATCCCAGAGGGGATGCTACAAATCAGCTTCAGCAACACGGTAGGAAATCATATAAGTATTAATTATGTTCCCTGCTCCCAGGAAGAGACCTGCCCTTTAAAGTCTTCAGCACATCACCACATGACCATCTGTCAGGCTGAGCATCTTTCTGCATTCTTCTGTTTTGCAGTAGACTACACACACCAAGTTACTTGTGAAGCACATAACCAGTTAATGCTAAGTTCTAGGAAGCAGACAATACCAGAGAGAGCACTCTGTGCCACAGCTTTACACATCAGCTTTCAGAAAGCACATGGAAACCATTTATCCAGCATCTTATAAAAGCACCATTGAAAGGTTGAACAGAGAGCACCGCGTATACAGAATTGTGATCAGAACTGCGGACAGGAGCTGCTCAGGGAGCCATGGAGAAGCACACAGCCCAGAAGAATCCCTGCGTGATGGATTCTCTGAAGGCACAATAGATGAACAAGGCAGCTGGTCATCAGCCAGTTGCAACTGTGGAGACGGTCCAACTCTGGGTGACTCATGAATATGAATCCCCAGACGTGCTCATCCCTCACCCCATGAATCCTGCTACATGTAAGCAAGCCTGCCATACATATTACTAGAAAGTCTGAAGCAACTAATTGTTCACAGTTGACATGGACATCACCTCCCTGAATGCTCACTATTGAAAAACTTAGGTTCTTCAAAAGAAGACTGATAATTCTTATTGCAAAGCTTACTCATTGTAGCTACATTACTGGGCTTTTTAGAGGATGTTTGTGAGCTACTATTGCTATTGTACAGCCAACTGGGTTCCAGAACATTAAATGTGTCTCTATAAAGATGTTTCCAACCTAGACAAGTAAATGCTGGAATTGTCCCTTTGTACTTTTGAGTTAAACACACACAGTATGGAAAAGAGTATGGAAGTACTAGCTACTTTGTAAAAAAGGCACTATAACTGATTTAAGTGTGGTAATTAGGTACATGCCTGTGCTACAGGTATCTGCAAAGAATCTATTTCTCTCTGTGACTGAGAAAGTAATTCTACACTCATAGTAGAAAGGAATGGCTGGTTTATCTATGGGGTTAGTACTGGTTTAAGTATGTCGTAAGAACAACTCCCACAGGAGACACAGATTCATGGAAGAGATGTCTGAACTGCATTTCCTATTTCTACCAGTTCCCAAAGGAAAATCAGAAAGACCTTTTCATTAGTGCAGTTTTACACACATTAAAGCATCTCTTGGCCCTAATGTGACAATTTGATGTGAGATCGTATTATATAGTTATGCCAAAAAATGGAAACAAAGAAACAGATTGTGAAGCTTCCCCAGAAAAGATTACCAGGTAACGAATACTTCATTTTGGATGTTGACATTTTATTTAGGGATATGGTGAAAGAGGAAAAAATAGCAATAAAGGGACTAGCAGAATAGACTCCTTTTTCTTCACAAATTAATCTATTTGGGAATTACTATTGGAAAAATCATTCTATCTCATATATATTAGTGAAAATAAAGCATTGGCAACAGCCATAAGGGAACAGATCTTACTTCTGGGAAGAGGGAATTAAAACAGAAGCTTGATTCTTTGTCAAGAGATGTAATTATTCACTTAAGAACCCTGGACTGAGTTATAAAATATTTTTCTTTAGCATTAGACTACATAATGGAGATTTTAGGGGAGTTATGGACTCCCCTGTTCGTGGCTGTTCAGGAGGGTAATTATTTTTTGCAGTTCTCAAGTCCAATGTGTGTGTGTGTGTCTCAAGGCTGAAGGCAGGTACACATCCCACAAGCGGCAATCCAAAATCTGAGCTGCTTCTCCATGAGGCTGAGGCTCTGGTTGACAATTAAAAGGCTGTCACCACCCTGAGAGTCACTTAAAACAGGAAGGAACATGCCAGCACCACAGAACTGCAGACACAGTACCAGCTCCCAGTGTAAGGCTGTATGACACAGGTTAAAAACAGAAACCAAAGAAAGAAGAGAGGGGGAGGGATTTCACTGTGAAAAAGGGAAGTCTGGGGGGTCTCAAGGTGCAGCTGTCAGAACAGAGGAAAGAAAGAAGCTGAGTCTTGTGTCCCCTCCTCCAAACCAACATTCTTGATCCAGCTGTGAAAGACCACAAAGAGTGACAGACAATCCTCCACCACCCTTTGACTTGCTGATCTTGATGGGGGCACTTCTAGAGTGGTGTTTGCTTTTCTTCTTTAGCACCTTCAAATTTTACAATCAAGAGTTGAGCGTTATTCTTTGCTATCAACTGGCATTATCTCTGTCTTTGAACTGGTCTTGAAATTGAAACTGGAGAACCTGGCAAATCTTATGTTCCTACTGTTTCTCCAAAAGCAGCCATCCATGTAAAGGGATAACTTCATCTTATGTATCTGGGAATTTCAGGAGTTGAGGTATGCTTGCCACTAATGGCCAGTCTCTTCGCGAACGAAGAACCGGGGAAGGTCTTTACACCTTCCAGCCTGCGCATTGGATTTTTTAGGTGAGACACAGTGTGCGNTACAGGGCTAGCGAGCTCCATCTGCCCGGGGAGTGTCCTAACCGGGAATCGAACCCAGATCTCAGCGTTGACAACGCTGTGGTTTAGCCACTGCACCACCAGGGACACTTGCCACTAAGCTGCAAGAGTCATACTGAGGACTACATATATAAACCAGTACCCCTGAGCAAATGCATAATTAAAGACTTCAGAAATTCTCCAGACTTAGCACAGCAGATCTTCTGAAATGTGGTGCATCTTATCTTTGGCCTTAAATAGTGTGATGTAGAAGGAGAGAACAGTCAAAGGCGAACTTCATGAATTCACATTCAAGGGAACAGAAACTTTTATAAAGGTAGAAACTCCAGAAAGGAAGACCAAAGTCAGCTTTAAAGAGCACTGCAGTGAAGTGGAAGTTTGCTGCAGCTGTCAAAATATGGCAGCATGGCCAAAACCAAGATGGATGTAGACTGGTCTGAACCACTTCGGCCTCTCCTTCGAGGAAGAGTCATAGATCAGGTGTGTTGCACTATTGCACAAGGTCAGAATTCATGAAGTTTGAATCACCCCGTGGGCAGTTTGACTGTGCACTTGCACTGCTCCTCAGAGCTGTGTTTACAGGCAAAGCCCATAAATCAGCACACATCTTTGATCTGTCTTTGCTCTTTATAGTACCAAGTAATGTTGAGCACTGGCCAGTGATCCAAGAAGGACTCAATCTGGTGTATCAAAACCCAGTGACAACTGAGCTGAAACTAAACCTGCTTTGGCTACTATGGAATAAGCCAACCTCAGTTTATGTACTGTTTATTTTGAATAAAAAAACCCCTGCTCTTCAAGCACATGCCATGTATTACATATGTGAATGTTACCAAGCTTGGACCATAATTTATACTTGTGTCCAAATTACAAGTGTATGTTTATATACATGGGGATATGTGCACACACGTACACACGCATATCACATGACGCCAGTTCTCTACCGCTGGACTGTTCTTGTACCATTGTACTATTTATTGTACTATTCTTGAGAAAAAATACGTACCAATCCAGTACCTTATTTCATCCAAGCACTGTACTTTGTCTTTCATAGTAACAGAATAACTTGGCATCTTTGAAAAGCCAGTGGCTTTCAAACCAAGAAGGTCTTGGTTGCCTTCCTGCTCCTTTCAGCAGAAGAACAAGGAGGACTAGTGGCTATCCCTGACTAAATCCTACTGTCTCTTCTGCCTCTTTTTTGCCCTTTGGCCATGTTCTTTTACATAGACTCCATGATTTTGAGCTTAAAAACAGCAAGGCAGGTTTCACATCCCTGCTTAAGGAGACAAAAAAAAGCCATCAAAACAACCCCAAAGCAACTGTTCATTTACCTACTTCTGAAATAGGAAAAAAATTTTAACAAAAACCAAATAAAGCCCAAACAAAGAATGGGATTATTCCTGTTAAAAAAGCCAGTAAGTTATCTACAAAAACTTTGAAGATGAAAAATACATTGTAAAAAATAAAAATATTATCCACTTAACACAGTACATAAATTTTCCTATATAATAAACTACACAAACATATTAAAGTACTTTAAGTCTTAAAAAAGGGCAAAATTCTTAAAAAAAGGACTCAACACTATTAAGGTTAGACTAAACATTATGCCAATGCATTCATTTGCGTGACTTTTTGCAACATGACAATTGTCTGGGGTATGTGTGGGTAGGTATTTATCTTCATGTAAGGGAAACAGTGCAAGAACACTAAGGGTGACAGTTGCCATTTTAAAGTGGTATTTCACAAATAATCAAACAAAACCCCTACAAATACCAGTACACGTCTCAAATACTGCAGGTCACATTCTACAACCCTTGACATTAAAAAGCAAAAGAAAGAAAAAGCCAACAGAATTAATTCAAGTACATCTGGAGTAGGTCCCTTGTGAAGTACTGTTGTTTGCACTTTAGTTGCAATGAATGTGGACGGAGCTCTGCAAAAAACACCAAAGTGAGCGTGCCTTCCCCAGCCCTGCAAAGCAAGTCTGAGTTGAGGGACAATGATCCGTGATTTGCTCAACATTGTGGATGCCCAAACTGGAATGAAAAATGATACTTGAAAAACACTTTGAAGAAAATAATCTCTCAAAATGAGAAGTTAGCTTTGTGTAAAGGCAGTCTTTTTGGTATGTAATCCTATTGGGACACCAATGGCACTCACTTCTTCCCAAATTCTGGTCGCCTCAGAGCTAGCAATAAAGAAACCTTTACGTTGTCCTGGTCATCCTTCTGACCTGATGTACCCTTTGCCATAAGCCTCAGTCCACCATCCAAATTAACCTAGCAGGTATCACACCCTGGCTGAAACAGACATTGCCTCTTCTCAACTTGTGTTCTATACTTAGCTTTGTTCCTCAAAAGGAGAAGCACTTCCTTGTTCCTTTGAAAATACCAGCAGAGAAATCAGCTGCCAGAGTAGTTAAAGTCTGGTGAATTCCCTGTGGTGCTGCAAGTCCCCTATGCTCTCATAGTCATTCTCTCCTGAAAGAGCAGTGTGGTTTGTGTTAGGCACAGACAAGGTCCTGTCTTCTTCTTGGCTCACTGACTGGATAGCTTCATAGTCCGGCTCCAGCTCCCCGTTTGGTCTGTCTGCTGACTGAGGCACAGTGGTAGAATTTAGGGTGTTTTCAAAGTCTTTCACACTTGCATAGAGGCCACTGCAAATAGATGGGGACCTCTGAGATGCAATTTCTTGAATACAGGTGTAAGGAGAATCCAGTGCCTTGATGGCCTGTCCTGGCTTACTCACTGATGAGTACATGGCGGAGATCTAGGAAAAGGAGACACCTGCTGAGTATCCAAGCATGGCATAAAGCTTGTGCGTCAGTCTGTACACTTGTACCACAAGGATGTTGCTTACTTAAGAAAAGACAGGATCTTCTCAAAAAAGTCATGTGCTTTCTTAAAAGGGTATGAGTTTTTCTTATAAAAAATAAATTACAAACCCCTTCTTTTCTGGCATGCATTTATAAATTGATTTTCTTTCAAAAAAGGAAGGCTTTACAAAGTAAGTTTATAAATGTAAAAACTCCTTGAACATAAATCCCTGGCAGGCAAATCACACCTGGGTAAATGGGAATGGCTTTGTGAGCAGGAGCTCTTGCAGATTTTGCTGTGGTCCGGGAGCCAATTTGGACTCAACAGGGAGACAGGCATCAAAGAGATTATCAGGTTGAATTGCTGTAATGTAGGAAAAGGATGCTGTCTGATCCTTGGGGCTTTTAATTTTTTTTTGTTATTATTTTTAATGGTAGTGTCTACTTTTCTGTTTTTATAGACACCCCAAAAGGAGGGCAGTTAATTGTTGTGTTTATAGGCAGGATTAAGGAGGCACCAAGTCATGTGAAGACAACACAGAAAATGTTTGCTCTGTTGACTACACTCTGCCTACAAAGAGGAATCACATCTCAGTCACTGCATATCAGATCTTTATGCTAGAGAATGAAACCTCTCAGCTATAAACACAAGAAAGGGAGGAGCCAGCATCTCACTCCTAGCTCTAAAAATCCCCTCTGGTGAGGTGGTACACTTCAAGAAGTGCACAAAGGTGGCACTTCATGAAGAGGTGAAGGAGAAGCCCACATCTACATATGTTCCTCTGCTCAGGGCTTATTGAGGCTGGTGCCAAGCACAGGGATCAGTCTTGACTCCCTCTGTCAGTCCAAGTGGATACTAACTCTTGCACAGGATGTCTGATATTGCCTGCACTGCTTCTCTGGTACTAAATATCACAATGCAACATAGCTCTTCTCTTACATTTGAAATCTTTTCCAAGCATGCAAGGCCACTTTGGATTTGCATCAACCCAGTTAAAAGAATAGATTGGCATGAAAATGTCCATTATGGTTAAGCAACACTGATGCAGAGGAACCAGACCACTTCTGTTAATTCTGGGATGGTTTTTCTGGTTTGTTTGTTTGGTTTATTTGGTTGGGTTTTTTGTCTGGTTGGTTGTTTTTTGTTTGCTTGGGTTTTTTTAGAGAGACATTGAATTGTAGATGGCAATACTTCTTACTTTTTACGGATTTCAGCCAACCAAACAAAAAATGGGTTTTCTGCTCATTTAATAATTCAACCCTTTTCAGTATTAGATTATGTGAATGCAGTTCAAGGATCAATTTATTCGTTAATGTCAGGGACTGCTTCTCCCAGCAGAAAGCATTACCTCATTCAGCTCATTGCCAAGTATGTGTTTACTTTTACGTCCGAGAACGTATTTACAAATGGCACAGGTGTATTGGAGGTGATCACAAACAACCTTATTTCTGTTTAACTTTTCTTTGTTTAAATCTCAATTTATTTGACCAACTCACATTTTAAAGAACACTTTATGTTCCAGTGCTTTTATTGTGCTTCCATTTACTTCCGAGAGTCCCAGGCACTTTGCTTGGGGAAGGTGGAGCATATGTTTCAAAAGGCTGCTGGTTATTATTCTTAAGTAGAGCTTGTCATCCAAATGAAAAAATTGCTCTAATGATCAACTAATTGTGGCCTCCTGTTATTTTCTGACACCATTTTTAACCTATTGGCCTGATACAGACACGAGAACACTTCTGACTTTAAGAATGTGGCAATACAAACTCTGTGCAGAGAATCTTGGGCTTTCATTTTCCCTTGAAACAAATTTCACCTTTCTTAGATTCTGCTTAATCATGCAGAGCTTATGCTAATTTCTGCCTAAAAAATGGTCTTTAGTTAGTTATTGAATTTCATGCAAGAAACCTACCTCATCTTCTGTAAGAGATGGATCTTCCTCTCGAGACTTGTAAGACACTGAGCTAAGCCTCTGTAAAAAAAGAAAGAAAAAAAAAAGGCTCATTACCCATCACCACTGTAAAACCTATAATAAAACCCTCCCATTACAATCAATACATTACATTTCATGGTCATTTGCTCTCAAGTTCCATTTTAAATAGATAATATCCCTAATATCCAGAGTACATCTCTGGAGATAACAGGCCTGAGGTTAGTAATGCTTTTTAATGTATCTGCTCTTGTCCTGACCTTAAAAGGGTAAAAATAATGTAATGATTAAAACAAACTCTGCTCTGCTGTATCCCAGCCTTTACACTTCTAATGAAGCACCTGCAAAGCCTTCTGAACAATCAGCTGTTGTGACACACCAGATGCCTTTTCACATTATTTTCAGATACACTTTTAGATGACAAAAGAACAATGGTCAGCTGGCACCTTCCTGATGCCTATTATCCTTCATTCTGTGGATCCTAGAAGTGCTGCAGGGAGACCCTGTGTCCTCCCTGCTCCTGGAATGCAGCCACTGTGCAGAGGTTCCCAGCAACCCGAAGTCACAGCCACTTGAACCTGCTGCAGCCCACCCTGAGCTGGAGCCAGATCACACAGCAGAGGTACTGAAGGATGGAGGGCTTGGTTTGGTATCAAGAATAACTTCAAGCATGTAAAGTGTTCTATGGAAAACAGGTCGTGAAACGTTGGGGGAAGAGCATTTTACTCTTATGAAAAACATCTTAGGACCTTTACAGCAACAAAGACCCTGGCTGCTACACCAGGGGTGGGGGGTGCCTCCTCCCTGGGGCAAGAAGTCTTTGCTGGACTCCTACTCCACAGTGACTCGGAGGGTGCCTTCCAGCACTGTAACAGGCTGTATTTTGGAATTCACCACCTAAAACACTTCATACCTGTTCCAGTGCCAACCAAAATGGAGGAGTAGAGCTATTTTTTTTTTTTTTTTTTTTTTATCGAGGCTCATTGCGATATATTCTTTCCTACTTTCATTTACTTGGCATTTTTACTTCCAGTAAATACCAAGCTTCAAACTCCTGAGCACTTCTGACAAGGACCATGACCCAAAGTACACTGAAGCCTGCCTGCTGCTCCCCCGGAGCTTCCCTCATGCTGAAAAATTTTCCTGCTTCTTTCTCACTGTCTAGAGAACATGTTCTTTAACCTGTATTTTGTTTACTCATTAAAAAAAAATAACAGAAGTTCAAATGTATTTTGGCCTTGTATTAGATCTGCTTCACTAAAGCAATTCAGTTTAGTCTTTCTTATTTGCAGGACATTTTTTTGTGTTGGGGTGTAAGTTACTAATTTCATCCTCACACATTAAAACATGCATGTGCTCACAAAATTCTTCAGTGATTTTTGTGATCAGTGTGTCTATAAGCACCATGTGTCAGGACCCCTTTTACAGTTTCCCACTCAAGTACTAAAAAATACCCCAAGGTGTTGGCCATCCTGTATTTGTTTCCCCAGGATCTAGTATTCTTTCTTCTAAATGTGAAACCTGTGACACATCAATTTTGAAGGATATTGTTATCCTGGAAACTGAAAAAAAACCCCACTTTATCCTAAACATTTTGTACCTAGTGATACTGTGCCTGAAACCTCAAAAGCAGCAAAAACCCAGCATGTGTCCTTACTTGTCTTCCACTTTCCTTTCGTTCCTCAACAGCACTCGATTTTTTACTCTTTGGCTCAGCTGCTGCTCCTGACTTGGGCAGCAGAACTAGAAGAACTTTCTCCTCTGGTGCATTTGTAAGGGATACTTTGCCCATCCTCAGGCTGTGCAGCCAGATGTACACACAGAGAGCATTCCTACCAGTGCTCACTCAGGAAAGACCTGGGTGAAAAAGGAGATCCATACTTCTTCTTCTCTTTTTTTTTT